CTTCCCGCTGATACACGCTGATGTACCTTGCCTCTTTCTTCTTAAGCTTTCAAACTGCACTCCCTGGATTTATAGGGATTTATGAACCAATGACAAAAGTTAATTACAGTTAAACACAAACAGCTGGCCAGCCTCTCAGTAAATTTGCATTCTAGGTGCAACTCTGCAGTTCCTAGGGTTTCCTGACTGGACGGGGTTACTCCCTGTCTATCGGTGCATTTTCACTTTTCTGATAGTACTTAAATTCCATCTCCTTGGAAGTTTATATGTTCATTGACAGCCTCTAAGGAATGGCAGACCAAAGCAGACAGCTGTGCCATTCATTTCTACCTCTTGTACCACCTGAGTCCCACAAAAGGCCAAGTCCAAACCCTCTCCACTTCCCTAGCCAGTTCTGCACTTCAAACCAGCATTAACCTGCTAGACCACAGCACATAGAAATAAAAAAGAAGAAATTTTAAAAAGTAACAGAACTGAGAGATCTTGTCCATCACCAGCACCCTGGGACACAACAGGAAGAACTTTAGGTGAAAGTTAAATGAAACAGCCTGGCTTTTGTGACTTTTGTTGTCTGGAAACTGCATAATGACACCTGCTTTAAGCAGTGCTTGAAGTAGAAAAGGCAAGACGTACGCTTGATACCTGCTCATAAAATACAGTCAAAGAACACCTGCTGAGCTCTTACCATTAAGATTCTGTGGTATGTTTTTAGAAGCACAGTTCTTGCCTGATGGTTTGTACGTTCTAGGGAACTCAACTTGTGTTTGGCATTTAAGCGTAATGGTCAGACCTATGAATGCTTGGCTTCCACTGGATGCTGCTGTTTTCAAGGCGAGCCTGAACACATTGCAGAAATATTATCTGCCACCTGACCTACTAAAAGCTGTCAGAAAACGCGCAGAATTGCAGATGAGAAAAGCTGGCCATCTGGTCCAGTAATAAGGATCAGCTCATGGTAGGGACCTCAGGTTCCAGAAGGTGAGGTTATCTAGACACAACAGTCAGATGCCAGCATGCACGTATGACTTTGTGTAGCCTGCATCAGTTTCCTCAGATGCAAGCAGCACTGTTTGCTTGTGCACCAACAATACCGCAGGAAGACAAAGCTCTGACGGATTAGTAGAGGGGCTTGGCCCTGAGGTTCCGGCTTCTACACCCAAACTGAACATTGTGTGGACAGGTGTTTTGAGGTTTCACCTTGGAGTGCCGCTATGGGATCAACACACAAATCAAAATTACAACTTGTGTGTACACTTTACTACGAAGAGCACTGTGGCTGAGGTGGGGGCTCTAACAGCTAGCCTCTCTATGTTTCCCACAGAGATCACTGTGGCTTCTGACCACATGACTTCAGCTGTTTTTATGTTAATAAAACAATGGCTTTTCCCATTGACACTGAAAAGAAGTGAGGTTAGGCAAAAAGGGATCATTTAATATTGCGATCATATAGGAGGCAGTAGGAGACAGGTGCCTTCTCACACATGAGCTCTCCGGAAGCGTCTTAAAATTTCACAGCTTTCAAACACATAGGAAGCTTTTTTCCAGAAATGCCTACAGGAATACCTTTGTGGAGTGTGTTTGGCACAGACATAAAATCACCTTTCTCTTTCAAAACAGAAGCACAGCAGTCAATATTCTGCACCCCAAAGAGAAAATTACTCATTTTTCTACTTTTCCTCAGTGCGTGCAGAAATAACTTTTTTTCCTGAACAGCATAATTCAGCCAACTAATTAGGGGCTAATGAAGATGGAAATATAGATTTGGAGCCAGGTGTTTCTGGAAGGAATCTTCGTTATGAGGATCAAAGAAAAGAAACAAACCTAATATATAGCTGTATATGACTGCAGCTTCTAAAGGTGTTTAAGCAACGTCTCAGCTCTATACAGAATATATCTAAAAGTGACTTCCACTGCAAGTATTTACAGGGTTGCAAAGTAGTTAAATACTCAAGATTCATACAGGGTTTTTTTAAAGCACTGTAGAACCCAATTCCAATTCTTGTTTTTCCCTTCAAACTTCATCATTGTGTCAGAAATGCCACTTAAATACATAAAGAACAAACAAGATATATTTTCTCCCTAAGAAGAGAAGAACTTGAAAGTGATGGTGCCAACAGCTTCTGAAAACAGAACAGCTTCTATAAAGTCAGAACCATCCTGATGGCTGGAAAACCGCCTCACCAGAAACTTTGGATTCAAGTTTTACAGATAAGATCAAACATCACCTCTGTGTAGAAGCATGAAATTTGTACCTAGATTTGGAACTCTCGGGTTCCCAGTGACACAGGGCAGTGTCTCCTCTCTTTTCTAGATCCTTCGGCGTTTTTTTTGTGTCAGCTGGAGTATTTGACCCACTTTAATATGCACCTGACCATTTTTAACCTCTGTGGTTATTCCCCTAGCCAGTGAAAATGGCATTTTCCTCTGAAAAAAAAAACTAATAAAGAGCGTGGCAGTTAATGTAAGTGCTAACAGCACAGGCAGCAGAGGAGGATTTGAAGAGAAGCAGCAGTGCCTGTTGGATGATTGTTTTCCTGGAGGCGTTCTGAGCTGCAGAACCAGAGCAAGAGCTCCCCACGTCTTGCGCTGTGTTACTGACGCGGAGAAGCCGCGGTCAATCGGAGTCGGTTGTCAGTCTGACGGCCGGGTTCCTTTCCTGGGTGCTCTTCCAGAGTCGGCTTCTCCCTCGTCTGGAGCGCGGGGATGGCTCCGGGAAGGGTGATGCCCACCTGCCGGGTGCCGGGAGAGGGACACCAGCAGGTGGAGTCCCAGCCCCGCGTTC